GAGCAGTACAGTTATGGTACAAGCAAAGATTTGTAGGTCAAATGCATTTCAGAGACAGCTGGCATGGAAATGTCAGAGCCAATGGGTCTGGGCAGTGATGTGTCCAGGAGGGATCAGTGGAAGGACTGGTGGTGCCACAGAGTTTCTGAGAGCTGTGAGACCATGGAGGTCTGTCCTTGGCAAGGAGAACATGGTATTCTGGGAAGCTGGAATCTTTTTAAATAGATTTGTAACAATTGTGTTCAACTCTACAAACTGATGGTTACTTAAACTATTTATATAATTCTCCTAATAATGATATAGTCATACTGGGAACATTGCCATTTAAGGAATCAAGAAGGACTACTACAGTGTCTAAGTCAATAGCAGTCAGATCAGTGTATTTGCCCATTATTTCTTAACAAACTGTATGTGAATTCTTGCAACATAGTAAATACCAATTTGGTATTTGTAGATTTTTTTTTGTCCTTGCTCTGACTTGAAAGAACAAGATTTACTGGATTATGAAAAACACAAGGACAGATACAACAATGAAGTCTTAACCAGCTGTAATCAGTTAAATTAGTGCAAACATATTAAGTAAAACATAGCTTTATGGGAAAAAACACAGGTTATTTTCATGATAAATATTTTAATTTTCTAGAAAATTTGTTTAGTGAACTTCAGCCTTGAACAGATAGTTCTAGGAGAAAATTGAGCAATTATCCATCTATTTATTTATCTATGAGTGGCAGAAAGTATTTCCGATATGTGCAAGAATTCAGGTTATCACACTGTTACACCCACAAGCTCTGAATCACATCTGGCATGACAATTTACAAGAAGCAAAGTAGAGATAATTTCTACGAGACACAAGGGATTTACAGAAATTAATTCTTTGCCCTACAAAAAGTTTGTCCTTCAAAAAAATTCAGTGAGAGTTTTCCCATTAATTTGAATGGAGGAAGGATAAAGACTATTCTCTTTAAAAATTAATATACAACTATCTAAACCTAATAAAAGAAAATGAGTCATGTGTTTGCAATGAAGAGCTGAATTTTCAGTGCAGTATAAGAAACAAAGAAGGGTTTTCTGTCAACCAAGTCATACTAAGATACAAAAAGATTATTAAGATACAAAATTGATTATTAAGATACAAAAAAGGGAAGACCTAGGCTTAGTGGGTGAAATTCTGAGCTCCTTTGCCTTTACTCTTCCAAGTTTAAAGACTTTACTCTGGATTCTCATCAGTCCAAATGAGATTCAAATCTGATGCTGTAAATGCAAAAAAAATTGATATTGTTCATGACTTGCAGAAAACCTTGTTCACAGGAGACATGGTTTAAAAATAAATCTTCAAGGGTACTGTCTCTCCACTAATTATTATTTTAAAGTAATTTTGGAAGTATAGTAACTACATCTAAATCTTCCCAAGAGGAGACATCCTGGAACACAGATAGGACTTGAGTAATTTCAATCCTCTGATGTTTTACCAAGCAGCAGGATAAGGTATATGCCTTACACTCTCTGGAAAAGTTTTTTATTCTTTAAACTTTAAAATATCTTGAGATAATATGTATGCCTATACATGTCTTCACCGTTTTAATTAAGTGATGCCACAGTAAATATGGTAACAGCCAGAATAAATATCACTGTATTAATTAGAATACTCTCCATTATACAACGTTGTGTTGTATTGGAAAACTCATGGCTTGAATAAAGCTATTTCCCTCACGGACATCACACAGGTGCATCAAAATGCTTCTAACCACCTGTTAGGCTATTGAAAGAAGCAGCTTTGCTTGCAGACTTTGCCTCACTAGCAACTTAAACCTAACAGGGCTACAATAACATCACAGCCCTTTGCACAGCAGGATGCCTCTTGGACTGGTTTTTTCCACTCCAGTTGTTGAGAATTTTCTCACATGCACTCAATGGAATAATTTTTGTTTGTTACTCTCAGTACAGTAATTCGCAGCTATTGACTCTCTGTAGCTTTGTTTTGGAGGAAGCCTCTCATCTTTGTCAGTTCACACACACACACAAACACCTCTTTTCCCCCAATGCACCATGGATCAGGAACCCAAATTAGCAGAAGGAAAGCTGAAGTTTTCTTTGGCAGGTTTGCCAAGATACCCTAATGAAAGGGGTCAATGAAAGTTCCCATATTCCCATTGATCTACAAGCCACAGTTCCCAGGACCCTCAAGGGAGCAGCGAGGGACAGCACAGAGCTCTCAAAGCTGCTTTTCCCTCCCTTGCAGCTCCAAGTCCCAGCTGCCACACTGGGGATGGTACCACGAAGGGCAAGTCCTCCTGGACAGACAGTTTAGTGGGGCACTGTGAAGGTGTGGCTGTGCACAATTGGTGAGAATAAGCCACAAAATGAAGCTGATTTTGTCAGGCACCCTACCTCCCACTGGGGAAAACTTCAGGATGCATGAAGGGGCACCTACTTCCCACAGCCCCCAGGTCACCATGGGGGCAGGCAGTGTGTGACAGCTTCCACTGGCAAATCAACTATTTATGCTTCCCTTGTCCCACTGCATGTTACAAAAGCTCTTTTTGCCTTATGCTATGGGTCAGAAAAAAGCTTAAAAAGAAATCAGAAGGATTGTAGAAAAACTAATGCCCTCAGTGTCTCTCCTTCAGACTTACAGAGGCATCCTACTCTCAAGTGATCATGACCCCAAGCACTGGGATGTCAGGCTCAGCATGACTAGGAAAAGGTTTCTGTCTAAAGCTCCCCTCAAAACTTGATTAAACTCAGTAAGGATTAGAAGTAACACACCAAAAAAAGATTGCTATCACAGTCTTAACTCCAGTTCTACTGGAGTTTTCCAAGAAGCTATGGCACAAGAGTCCAGGGGATACTGGATTTGACCAAATATCCTTTTCTTTGTGGTCCTGGGAGGTGGTGGGATCGGTTGTACCTACATTCTCTTTGCTTTCCAGTGACTCACACTAACAGGAGCACTCTGCAAGGCTAACTCCAGGCAACCAACCCCCTGAACTCTGCCATCAAAATTTCTTAAAAGCAACATGTGAATGCAACTGCGGCTTCTTCAGGAAAGGTTCATCACATACTATAACAGTGTTCATAGGAATGTTCTCAGTCATAATTGTCAAACCAACTTTCAAAATGCCAGACCCATTTCTTCAGTGATTACTGTCACAAATCTAACCAACTACATACTATGTTGGCTAAAGGTCTCAACCAAACAATAATTTTCAGTGATTTCCCAGCATTTGAATAAAACCCTAAAACCTTTTATACTGTAATTTTAATCAACAGCTTAGGAAAACCCCACATTATTTCTAATAAAGATCCCCTTAGGAGATTTCAAAACCTTTACTCAACCTCCTAAATATTTGGCATAGCACATCCTTGCAAGCCTGAAATTATTACTCAGTTTGCTATGGTTTCTTTTATTATGCTATTATACAAGACTGTTGTACTTTGTCATTTGTAGCACATTACCTCAGACTTGTTCAGGTACAAAGATGGACTTCTGGGATGGTCAGGGGAATAGAGAGCCTATCATATGAGAAGATAGATTGAAGAGCTTGGCTTGTTTAGCTTGGCAAAATAAAGGCTGTTAAGGGATCCAGTTGCTGTGTATAAATATATCACAGAGGCAAACATCAAGGAGATGGGAGAGCCATTTCAATTAAATGACTGTGTTGGGAAGGGAACCCATCAGCATAGATTGACCAGAATTTATTCCATGCTAGAAACCAAAACCAGAGTGTCACTCAGAGCAATGAGATTTGGGAACAATTTCTCAGTTGGAGGAACAGCAGCAAAAATCTTAACTGCACTCACAGTGGAACATGACAAGTTTATGAAGAGGATGATAAAACGTGACTCCTGCAATATTAGGACCACAGATTCCATGACCCATATAAAGTTGTGTTCCCATATAAAGCTAAAGTATACCATGCAGATACTGTAAACTTCCACTATGTATCCTTCAGAACAAGATATGCCAGCATATTTTATATGCTTCAAGCTATTTAAAAAGCAAAAAAAAACAAATCAACCCCCCCCAACCAAATAGTTCAGTTTAGTAAGTGTATTTGTTCAGGTCAGGGGTAAAACTTAAATAATTTCCTCTCCCACAATGACAATAAATTCAATATGACCCCAATATATTACAAAATAAA